CAGGGACTGTCTACACAGTTCGCCCTCCTCCCGCCCGCCCGGGAGCCAGGGACTGTCTGCAAATTCTTCGCTCCACACATCCTTCCATGTCCCCACATTGAACTGAGGCTGGGATGTGTGTGTGTCCAAACTGCCCCTTGCTCCTTCCTGCCCCTTTATGGTGCAAAAAGGGGGGAGGATTGTGGATGCAAATGTTTCAATTCCAAGTTACCCCATTCCCATTAGGGTATTCACCCCACACTCTCCATCCAGGGGCCAGTGGTGGAAGAGGGGGGAGAACCCATCAGTCAACCATCACCCCTGCCTCTCAGTAGCGAAAAGGCATTGAAGAGAAATGAGGAAGCTTGGCCGGATGTGGGGAAGGGAGGGGGGAGTTTTTTCACCCACCACATTTCTTCTGGGGTCTCTTCAGAACCTGCTTTTAATGTCCCACTGGGTGGTGCTGGATCTGCCCTCCCTGGCCCTGAGTCCCCTGTGGGAGCCCAGAGCTGGGGCAGAAAGAGCTTCCCCCTCCACTCACAGCCCCACACCCATGGGCCTCTGGCCTGAGGGGACTCATTGTAATGGAAAGGTGGCAAGTCAGTCTCCAAGGCCCCTCCAGACCTCGCTCTCTGTGCTGAGGCTGCCAATGAGGGGCCGGGTAGTGCCCATGGGGATGGGGGCATCTTCTCTCCTACGGCCTGAGCGGCGGCCAGCACATCCCTCAGCTCACGCAGCATCCCACAGCCCCCATTGGCCTGGAATGGCGAACCGCGGCCAGTGGGAGCTGCAATTGGCCAAATCTGGGGACGCTGCAGAAAAACAAACCGTCCCGGCCCGCCAGCGGATTTCACTGACGGGCCGCGTGCCAAAGGTTGCCAACCCCTGTACTATGGTAATGGTGGTGACGTAAATACCTTAAATATGAAATATGTAGCCCTTAGTCCAAACTCAGCTAATTAACAACTTAGACTGGGGGGTTTAGAATGGAAATAGGTGCTTGAATCCTGTTGAAATTAATTAAGGACTGGATGCCTAGCAACTCTTTGTCTCCTTTGATAATCCCCATCTACTCTTAACATGAACCTCTGAAACCCAATACTCAATTTGAAACCGAACCCTGAAACATCACTCTAAAGTTAACCCTAATTCTAAATCTTATCCTACGCGTACCCTTGATCTTAGCTCTAAGGGCTGTGTTGTTGTTCTTATTAAGACACAGAGAGCTTGTATCTAACAATTAAACTCTGATATTCAAACATAGTAGAACACAATACCCTGAGTTTGCTGTTTGTAGCAATTTACATTCCCTGGTCTACCTGCATCACTGACCTCCATCTTGCAAGAGGAAGGTTGATCTTTGGTCTCTGTTACCACAACCCACTTTCTTACACAACTACAGAGGGACTTAGATGTTGCAGTACTCAGTGTCACAACACCTCACGTACAGGCACCTAGAATATCATTGGGATTCACACAGCCTGAGTCAGGCACCCAGGCTCCCTATACAATGGAAGGGGAGAGGGAGACATCTAAGAATGGGATCCACAAAAGCCAGAACACTAGACTAAACTAGCCAATAGGAGTTGCTCTGACCCAGGGACCCATTGGTGCCAACTGGCAGAGGGCAAAAGGTGTTTACAGGGATCCTCTGGGTCAGGTTTCTATGTAACAGTTCACCAAAGGGTGGCATGTAAGGTCTCTACCAAGAGCTAGTAGCTTACTGGTCATCATCATTGCAAAATGTATGCACAGATGATATTTAAGGAGTTGTGTATCTATACTGAAAACTATGTTCTTAAGGTATGTACATTAAGACAGGTCAACAGAAGGTGATAAACAGGTTCTGTTCTGCTGGGGGGAGTATACGAGTCTCGCAATGGCTGGTTATTGTGTATTGTGTGTCTCATAATGTAAGTCCATTTGCTTTACTGAGCCTAATGCAGAAGTTGTGAATTCAGATAAGAGAAGAGCTGCAGGAAAAAAACAAAACCAGCAAAGGGGGTGTCCTGCTTACAAGTAAAGACAATGGATTTGGGAGGTGTAACTGGGGGTACTGAGGTAAACCCAGGATCCTGCACTGAGGAAACAAGCGGAGAGCATGGCTTGTTTCATGAAAAAGGGATTGCAGCCTACCTGGCTGAGAAACACAGGTGAGCAATACTATAAGATATGACAGTAACTAATTAAGTAAGTCTAGGTTCTAGAATGTTTACTATACGTTTATTTTACATGTAACCATTTGTTTTCAATATATCCATTTACTAGCACTTGAATCTCTCCTCTGTGTTAAATGAACTTGTGCTTGTTTTCATTATAAACATCGCTAAGGGCTGTGTCTTGAGCGGAGCGGTGATCCGAGGGGAAACTGGTAAGCTGGGGTGTCCTGCTTCTTTGGGAGCAGTGGAGCTGTGAATTCGCTGAGTGTCCAGTGGACCAGGGGCTGGACACTCCAAGGAGATACTCCGAGGGCTCAGGTGTTGGATAGTGCCAATTGCTAACCTGCAGAGGGACAGCGGAACCTGCATAGGCTGAGAGGGGAGTGCTTGTGTTGCCCACGGCTGGTGGGACTGGGGAGCTGACCCCCGACAGACACAGACAAGGCTTCTTCATTCTAAGGGCAAGTGGTAGAGAGATGCCTCACAACCCTGGGAAGCATCACAGATACCAAGGACGGGGGTGTGTCTTAAGCCCCCTCCCTTAGCCCAGTGGTTAAGGTACTCATCTGTGATGTGGAAAACTACTAGGTCATGTCCCTCCTCTACTTGAGGGGGAGAAGGCATTTAAACAGGGGTCTCCAAACACTCAGGAGAGTGCGCTAAACACTGGTTGATGGGGTAATCTGATGTAGCTCTCCCGTATTCTATCCTGGTGAAGCTGTTCCACTTTGGATAAATAATTAAGGTGTCATTAGAGTGGGGGACTGGCTCCTGGATCTCCCACATACTGGGAGAGTCTACCAACCACCAGCCTATAGTCATTCTCATGTGTGCATATGCCCTCTGGCCCAATGACTCTTTATTCATCCAAAGTGAAACAACTGCACCAGGAGAGACTAAGAGACTCCCACATCAGAATATCCCTTAGCCCAGTGGTTAAAGCTCTCACCAGAGAGGTAGGAGACTTCTGTTCAAATCCCTGCTCTGAGCACACCTACCAAATCAGACTCTGCATGCAAGTTAGGTGGAGGAACGCTGATCTTCTCCCGATTTATGTGTTGCTTTGGGGCTGAGGCATCCGGGCGCAGAGAATGAGACAACAGGACATGTCCTCAGTGGCAAAAACATAGGTGCCTAGGGAACTTCTACTGCATAAACTGAAGTTCTGAGTGAGTGTAAGCACCTACAAGGGTTTGGCAGCAGCTGAGTGCAGGTTTTGTGAATCCCAGTGGGGTCTGATTCTGGGACTTGGGTGCCTAAAGTGACAGTCTGGCACCTAACGCTCTTTGTGAATCTAGCCCTTGGTTCTTATCTATATCTTTAGCTGCCTAAATACTTTTAAAAATTGGCTGTAAATGGAGTTCATACACAGGAACTTGGAAACGTCAGTAATAAAAATACAGGAGTTTTCCACCTAAGCTCTGTTCTGTGTAAGTAGCCAGCCACTGGAGTAAATAATACAGCTACTGGTTGGATTTTTTTCCATTTGATAACACTGATTCAATGAAATTGCAACATTTTGCAGAAATGTATTGATTTCATCAAAAATTTATATAGGAAATTATCTAAATGTTTTGTGTCAATAATATAACATAATATAATATAATAATTAATATATTATAGACATGTTTTAATATTACATTAGATTAGATTATAAAAGTTGAATTGATAAAGTCAAAATAAAACATTTTAATAAGATCAAAATTAAGTATTTCAGAAGATTTAATCTCACAAAAACAAAATCAGATTTCGAAATATTGGAATTTCCCGTTGGATGGGAATTCTGTTTTTAGATCAGCTCTTGGAGATGAGACTATGTTTAGCTGGAGACATATTCAAAAGCCCTAAGACATATTACATTTTACCTTTTTGCTTAGAATTTGTTGAAAAAAATGGGGGGGGGAACTCCACATTTGTGAAACAATTCAAAATATCAAAGTATCTTTCATTCCAAAAATAAATTATTTTTATTTAGTTTTTGTTTTGTTTTCTTTGCTTTGTATTTTTTTCTGCAAAACATTTTTAAACAAATATGAAAAATCCAAATATTGATATTTTGCAATTTCCCCCCTTTTCCCTTCTTTTTTCTTTATCCTTTTCCCCCAGCCCCATTTTCACTTCTAAATGCAATACAGTGAATGGTATACAGGGTTTTTTTTTTTTTTTTTTTTTTAATTTTCATTTCTCATTATTTTTTTCCTTGTGCCACTATGTATTTTTTCAAAAGCTGAGGAGTCACAGAGTGAAGAAAGAAAGCTGAACACAAAAATTCAAAATACCAGAAATTCAAAATATTCAGTTTCAACAAAAAGAAAAAAAAAGAAAAAGGTTTCTGGTTTTGAGAACAGATTTTTTTTTCTTAAAAAACAATGCAAATGAAATAATTTTAACAGCTCTAATGATATCTTATTTTATACCAAATCAAAGACATCTACACACTTTACATACCAGCGAGTGCCTTTTCCAAGGCTTTCTTCACCTCTTCGTTTCTTACAGTGTAAATGAAAGGGTTTAACAGTGGTGTTACAATTGTGTTTAAGGTGTTGACTATTTTGTTTAGATCCAGGGTGTTCTGTACAGAAGGCTTGACGTACAGGAAAATGGTGGAGCCATACCGGATAATCACAACAGCCAAATGAGCAGAGCAAGTGGAAAAGGCCTTTTGCCGTCCTTGTGCTGATGGAATTCTCAGTATTGTGGAAATGATATAAATGTCGGAGATCAGAGTTACTATACAGGTGCCCAGGAGGACAATGAAGGCGGTGAGGAAAGCCACCAGCTGAAGGAGATGTGTGTCTGTGCAGGAGAGAACTATCCGAGAATCTAGGTCACAATAGAAATGATTGATGACATTAGGGCCACAAAAGGACAACCTGGTTATGAGATACGCCGGCACACAAATAGCTAGGAAACCACATACCCAAGAGCAGAGGGCCAGCCAAGCAGACAAGGTCCTGTCCATGATGAAACTATAGCGCAATGGGTAGCAAATGGCCAGATAGCGGTCATAGGCCATGACGGATAAGAGGAAACATTCCGTGCAGCCAAAGGATAGAATGAAGTACATCTGTGTGATGCAGCCAGTAAAGGAAATTGTTCTGCTTGTCCCCAGGATGACTGCAAGTGTCTTGGGAATGCAGGCTGTGGTGTACCATATCTCCAGGAAAGAGAGGTTGCAGAGGAAGAAATACATGGGAGTTTGCAGGTGGCAGCATGTTCTCACTAGGATTATGATGGCCATGTTTCCCATGACTGTCAGGATGTACATCATGGAAAACAGCACAAAGAGGAAGGTCTGCAAATATTGACTACTGGGGAAGCCCAAGAGGATGAACTCGTGCGCTCTGGTTTGGTTTGCCATCTGTGTTCAAGGCACATGTTCCATCTGTTACAAAGCAAGAGATTGTTATACAGGCAGTTAAATATATTAGATATTGCTGACCCTTGAAGGTTTGAGTTCACCATCGCAGTCTGTCAGGATACCTAATACCGATCACCGCCTCTTTGTGTGGTGACCAGACTAGGCTATGCTAACTGTGAGGAGAGGCAGGTTTCTTCACCTAACGGGCCCACACTTGTCCCTTAGGCATCTTTGAACTGTATTCTGTCAATAGATGTTCAAACAGTCATTCTCTCTATTCACATACCTTCGGTCCTTTGTGGGTGAGCTTCTGATTTACCGTTTTCAGGATCGGTTTTCATCTAACACAACTTTTTGATCAATTCCCCTTTTACACCAATTATATCTCCTTTCAGTTTTTGTCCCTTGATACTCTCTTTCTGGTGCACCTGTAGATTTTATTTCCCTCTACTTCCCTTCTCTAATAGTGTCAGCTCACATACCCAGGTCTAGTTTTTTCGGCTTCTCCTGACCTGAAACCTTTCCTATTTTCCTTCTTTCCTCCTTCCCACTTCCCAGTCTCTGACTTTTATTCTCCTGTTAATTTTATTTTATCAACTCACCTCCTACCCCAAATTCCACTTCAGCCGCTAACTCAGAATCTAGATTCTTCTCCTCTCACAGCTTGTTTCAATCTGCCCCTTCGGGCGGATTCTGAGCCCCTTCCCAGCTCGAGCTGCCCTCTCACTGGCCATCTCTCTCCCCAGGACAGCATTTTCTGCAGCTGCTTGTGTCAGGGTGAGGGTTACTACACTTACCTAAGATAAATCTGTGTGACCTTATTTACTTGCCTCAATGAATTACTACTGCAGTGAATTTCACGTGTTAAAGGTACAATTTAGTCCCTTTTCACTCACCTTGGTGTAAATCAAGAGTAATTCTACTAAAGTAAATGGGGCTCATTCTCCACTCACTCACACCAGTGCAAATTAGGAGTACGTCTGCTGAAGAAAAGGGAGAAGATTCTCCACTTACACACCACAGTATAAAGCAAGAGTAACTCCATAGGCATCTATGGGGCAATTTCTCCTGTCACTTAGCCTGATGTAAATCAGAAGTTACTTCACTTAAGTGAGTGGATTTACACCACTGTCAGACTGGTATGGAAGGAGCATCAGGCCCCATATGTCCTTATATTTATGCCAGGGTTTACAGCATAAGTACAAAACAAAACAAAAC